TGTTATGGGAACTTTTATTATCCAAGTATCAGTTGATGGGCTATTTGGTCAAAAAGAATGTAGAGAATGCATGTTCTACCTATTGACTTGATATTCAAAAACTCAAAAAATTTAATAAATTCATCTACTACTGTATTTGCTTTCCAGATTTTTTTAAATGTTTCAAATTTATTAGAAACAATGAAATTTAAGTGTTTATATATGTGATAAAAGTATATAAGCAACAAAAATATCCAGGTTTTTAACACGTAGCAAATTAATACTGTATTTAATATTGCTTAGAAAATATGAACTTATATATTCCTATATTCTTGATAAGAATTTAACTATGTAATTTAAATATAATAAAACATTTCTGTTCTGTGGGATTGTCCATCTAATACATTCAATGGTTATCGATCCCAGTCTGATACCCTCTTATCATTAACAAAAGGGATCAAAACAGTTTTAAAAAACAATTAGGAATTTGTAAGTATTTTCTCATCATTTAATAAAATTTTTTAAAAAGAAAAAGAAAACTATGTTCACATCCCAGGTAAATTTGTCTTATGTTAACTAACCTGCAAAACAATAGTGGTATATAAAGAAGAAATTCACTACTAATACTCCAATTTCCTACTTGGCTCCAAATATCTACATTCAAAACCCAGTAATTGAATTTCCCAAGCAAAACTAAATGCAGCCTCTTAGCAAAAACCTGCTGGAATTCTTATTTAATGAAATGTTTAATGAACTTTTGATAGGAAATGCTTATATAGAATAGTTCCTCTCTCTCCAACAGATTATACTTAGGAAGCCTGAAAACACATCAAGATATATATATGCAAATTAGAGTGTGTGGAATTTGTAAATTTTTTTTTTTTTGGCAATTTTAACAATAAGCACATATTTTCCTTTTACACTGGAAAGGAAATTCTAAATAAAAGGAAAAGGCACGGTGGATAAAATATAAAGAATTCCATTATGCTTGGTGTTATCAAAGAGTAATGAGAAGGTGTGACTAGTTAAGGACATTTAGCAACTCAGATCTTTGAGTATTAAATATTCAGGTAAACCATTCTTCAGGACTCTTTTCAAGAGCCATTCTAATTCTATAGCGTGAGAGTTATGACTTTAAAATCTTGTGAAACTGGCATAATTTCTCATCTACATGACTTGTTCCTCACTTATTTTAGCATATTATCCAATGGTCATAAAATAATTTAGAATCCCCATATGGGCATTTAATAAGAATATTATAATAAAATTAGTCATATTATCCATTTCTCCTGCAATTATAGAAAGGATGACCACTGATGACAATTGTTAAAAATAATATTCAAATGATTGAATATACATTACTTTGCATTCTTCTCAGGTAATACATCATGTGAGGAATGTATAGGAAAAGCAACCTCAAAGCTGCATCAACTTTCAAATCTTCTGAGTATCTGAAACTTCACATTGTATAAGGTATTGTCCATCAAAAAGCCATCCAATCTCATCTATGTCAGAAACTCTTTTATGTAAGTACAATATACATTAGGTTAAGCGTAGTTGGATGAAAGGAAAATCTAATGTTACCATTTTTCATAAACTTAAGCCCAAAAAGTATTTTTTGTTGAGATTTGTAAATGCTAAATTTTAATCACTTAATGCACGTTAAGACATAAGCTCTGAAGTACTCAAGAATTTTTAGGAAACATTGAATTTTATCTTTTAGAATACTTCAAAGCAATGGACTATTTTTCACATTAGCAAGGATTAAAACAATTCTGTCACAGATTATTAAAGTAGATAATCACCATGTTGTAGGCTCGTTGGTACTTAAATGTATTTTGCAATATTTAGTTTGTGTCCCAACCTTGTTTTGATTTTTTAAATTTTATAATTAACTCACTACATTTTCATCTAGAAATAATCACTCATTGCTTATCACATACTTATTTTTAATGAGAAATAGATGATTTGAAAGGAAGAAACAAAGTGAACACCACAAAGGCAGAAACAATAGAAATAAACTCTTTATCTCCATCAGAAAAGGTTGAGAGTCCTGTGTATAGACACAGCCCACCTTCACAGTCTGTGATATTTTCACTGCATATCTTGTCTCCCTGACTCAACTACTGGCATTTTATGTAAACCAGAAAAATCCAAGTCACCCCGGAAAATTCTATCCTCTTTAGCCCTTTGAACTTATGTCTCTGCGTTTAGTCAGAAGAGAACTATCTCTAACTGCTATGTATCTGATAGGTAAATTAAAGCTCAAGCGTAGCTGTGTTGTGGCAGCCATCTTCATTACCACCTCCGTGCATTATGATCGCAGAGGATTTGATACACTCTTAATTACAAGACGGAAACTTGACAAAAACAGAAATGTGAAAGATAATTTGGAGGCTAGCTTGCAGCCCCTCAAATAGTTTTATCAACATGCTAATCTGATTTTAGATTCGAATCCACAGAAAGCCAGAAAATAATGAGTGTTCACTGAAAGAATTTGTGATCTGAGCCTTAGCTGTCAACTCTCAGTTGGTTTGTTGTTCCATTGGTTGGTCACTTGGTCAGTCTCCCTCGCTGTCTCCCTCTCTCTCTCTGCTAAACTTTAAGGAAGGCCCTTTTTAATTGTCTATTCTACTATTGTTTTCCACAATAAACCTCCTCCATCCCCACCCTACCCACAGCCAAAAACCAACCTGAAATATGGTTCTCAATGTTGGCTGTACATTAGAATGTCCTGGGGAAGTTTAAAATCCTAATGCCCAGATTGCACCTTAGACCATCTGCATCCAATATCCAGAGGTGGGACCCAGACATCCATATGTCTTAAAGCTTTCAAGGTTATTCCATATGTATTTTCTATAAATTGTGCCTGAGACTTTGAAATATCTTAATTGTGGGATGAATACTTTCCAAAGAGACATCATTCCCTACTACTTGCTTCCTATGACTCACATATCCCAATGTAAAAATGTTCCCGCCATACAATTATGGGTTGATAGAAATTATTTCTGAAGGACTGATTAAGACCAAGCTACCATGAGAGACTCCATGTCTAGACTGCCAACCCCCCGCCCCCCGTCTTAATCTCACAGTCTGCTTTGGAGAAACACTTAGAACTGCCCACAGGCATGCTAATCAGTGGCCAGTCAGTACCAAAGGAGAGAACGACTTGTTAGCAGAAGATTTAAGTCCTCTCTCCAAACTGTTCCTTCTCTCCTTGATGAGAAAATAACTAATGTTTTCCCGTATTCCTCAGGAATGTCACATTCAGCAGATCCAAAACATTTTGTCTACAGAGAGGCACTCAGCGGTCTGCCATCATCCAACACTGGTACTCCTGTGCCCCACCCCCACCCCCAACCCCATTTGGCTTATATAAGTCATTTCCAAATCAGTTCCCCTTGAGGATGGTTTTTTGATACCAGCCTTGATATTTGTTCCCCTACATTAAACCCAGCATAAATGGGGTAAAACCAAAAGCACCCATCCCCTTTCCCAGCTTCGTTAGTTACATTCATATGTAGATATCATTTTCTTTAACCTTTGTATCCCTGAGCTTCACATATGCAGGAAACTAGGGCTGAGATTAGAGCCCTGGCCTTCTCCTCGCACAACACACATAAAAGTTATAAATTGTTAAAGCCCAGGTGGCCTCATACTGATGTTTTGGCTAGTTACAGGTCCTTGAAATTTATTGCAGGAGAAGTGATGTCCAGAGAATATCAAGAAACTGAAGTTTCCCAGACCCCCACTCCTTGGCTTCCTGGCACTGGAATCCACCATTCATCAGAGAAACAGACAATCGAGGATGCTAACCTGCAGTGTCCCTTATCTTGCCACTCCTTTTCCTGCATGTAGTCACATTCCTCACAACCTTTAAACCCCTAGGCTTTCAGGGAGATGAATTTGAGTGCTTACTCTCATCTCCAGGCTGACATCACCCAAAATAAAAACCCCCTTCCTAGCCACAAGCCTGGCATCCCAGTTTTTTTTCTTTTGGCCCTTCCTGTGTGGCGGGTAGATGAACCATGTTTGTGTTCGGTCACATATTCTAGTATACACACTTTTTATTGTCAAGACATTATATCCTTATTTCACATGACGGTTACTATCACTTGATCCTGCTACAGAAATGATCACCTACCCAAGGTGGGAACTCTCGACTGGCTACTCACAAAAATTACTCGGGGACTTTTAAAATATAAATTCTCCAAAAGTGGGCCCTGATCTGGTTGAAAATCCCCAGCACTCTGCCTAATGCAGTGAAGGACACAATTTTTAAAGCAAATTTCCTCCTCCATCTTTTTGTTTAATATTGATGGCTTTTCTTGATTTTGGTTATGGTTGCTTTCTAAAATAATTAAACTAGAATAGATTACTCAAAATTTAGTCTTGTAAAATATTTATTCAAGTGTGGTAAATAGTTGATTAAATACACACAACTTCCCAATTTAATTGAAATATCTTAAGAGTAATGGGTTAAACTTTATATTTTTCTCTCATAAGAAAAGAATAAAGTGAATATAGATCCATAAGGGTTTAAACGTCTACTGTCACATGGGAATTTTCTTTTTTTACCATATACCACTGTTCCTATTCCTCTAAATTATTTCCTTATCATTTCACTATTTTACTCAAATTGAAGATCTCTGTCTTTAAAAAGCTATCAGTATCATTAATCTATTTTCTACTTATGTGGTTCTAATGTAATTGGTCTGGGCATAGCTGGTATCCACATACTTTAAAACAACTCATGTAATTCATATGTATAGCCCAGACTGAGACTCATTTTCCTAGGCTTGGATACAAATTGCAGCCTGAGGAAATTGTTTCTTCAGTTAACAACAACAGCTAAATATGTATACATTTATATCTCTTCTCAATGGTTTTTAATAGACAAGTAATGACAAGTGCATACACCTCCGAGTGAGAACCAGTACTATTTTAAAATGTGAGTCCTCTACCATTTTTAAACATCTGAAACTCAATTCTGTGTCTTTGCCTTTCTGACAATTACTCACCCAGATATTCCCATCCTGATGATAAGGTTTCCAGTTTCTCCCAGTGTCACTGTAGAGCATGCGGTATTGGGTCACCCAGTCCGAGCTGCTGTATCTTCCTTGGGTTGCAATGGCACTGATCTGCTTCCGATTGCCAAAGTCAACCTGAAGCCATTGATAATGGTCACTGTCAGATGGAGACCATCCCCCAGCACCTGAAGACAGTGGAGGCAAGATGGGAAAATGTATATGTAAAGTTGGACTACTATAATTGACAATGGATTATTCTACATCTTTGAATTGGCCTTGGCAGTGCTATATTTCACAGATATACTATGAAGTGTCCTTTATAGATGCCACTGAGACTTCAACTAATATTCTTCCAGCTGGGTAACATTGATACTCTAACCTCTTTATGGCGTAATTATGTGCTCATTTTCTCCTGAGCAAATGTCTTCATAATTCCTCAATTAGATCTTATTAGTACATGTCAAAGTCTAATTGGCTGAAAGTTGATCAATTTACCATGAATTCTTCAACTAAAAATCACTAGGAAAAAAATATGTAACAATCAATTCCTCATGTGGGATTTTATCTTTTAGTAGATTATAAATGAAACAAAAAGCAATTATATACAACTCTAAAATATATTTTGCTTTAAAAAATTCAGAATTCACTGCCTACTAGTAGCTTGTAATATGAGACCTAGTCTACATTAAGCTCCTATACAGATGAGAACTGAGCTATATAGTTAATCAGGCAATATGTTTACTAACACTTAGGAGATATACAACCAATAACTCCTGATAACCACATTTCTGGGGAAAAAAATGAGTTACTAAATGAAGTGAAACTTCTTTTGGTAAAACATAATAATTGGCAAATAGTAAGAATGCAAAAATATTTATTAGAAATATAGCACATACATAACATAGAACAAAAAGACAATTTATAGCAGTATGTAAAATAACTATGGTTGCAATATATACATAAAAGAAAATATGGCATAATGCTTAGTGCTAAGAGGCAATATAATTTTTTGAATGAGTTTGGCTACTAATGGGAGTAAATGATAGAAAAATGTTCAATAAATTATCCAGTGTACAGTATTTCAAAATATATGCATCACTTTTCAAATAAGGAATTTAAAGGCTGACGATAAAATCATTTATTCTATGAGGACTATGCTAATAAAAGTCATTTTGTAAATCATCACAGATAATCATTCATTTAATGATGTTTATATGGCTTATTTCTGCTTTCAGCTATGATAGAATAGCTTTCCCACCATAAAAAAAAATTACAAAATTGACAAATGTATAAAATTACCCTTTTTAGGGCTTAGACAACAGACAGTGCAGGACCCTGATCTATGAGAGAAGATAAACAAATGAGGTGAGCTCTGCCAGCTTCCTGGCTTTCTGCCTGGTTCACTTTCCGGATTGTGACACACGGAAGAATATCCTAAACAGATTACAGCAGCATCACTGACAGGGAGACAGATCAGAATTGAAGCTACTGAGGAAGCTGGCATTTGTAGGACAGAGTACCAGAGAGGGGGCAGCTGTGCAGAGAAAGAGCTCTGGACATCTGCAAAAGATCACCAATGAATCTCTGGAATCCAGATTCTAGGTGAATATTAAGCTATATATTTGCAGACCAAGACTCCACAAGACCAGATGAAGAGAATTCTGAAATGAACAACCAGAGGGTACACTAGGCTGGGGTAGTTTGATTTCAGACTAGGTAAGATTGTGAGAACTCATTGAGCAAGCCTACTCATTCAGTAGAGATCTCAGAAAGGGATTAGAATAATTTAATGCTAAAATAAGGGCCACTCTGGACACATCTGAACAAAGGTTGGTAACAAGTCTGAAAAAAGATCAATCTGATCCACAAGTAAATTAACTCCTTGCTAGAACAAAACTCAACACTCCATTAAGAAAAGCCATGAAAGTTTATGAACTCAACAAGATAGCATCTATTTTATAAAATTTTTAAAAATTCTAGATATTTGTGGAAGCAGGAAAATATGACTCATTACCAGAGAAAAGTCAGTCAATACAAATAGACTGAAAAATGACAGAGATGATGAAATTAGCAGACCAAGACTTTAAAACAGAGATTATAAATTAGTTCCATTATCTTAAAAAAATATATAAATATTGAAGAAAAAAATGAAACAATAAAAGAGAACAAAATGGAAGTTTTTCAACTGAAAATTATATGCGAAATAAAAAATTTACCAGACGGGCTTAAGAGCAGACTAGAAACTGAGAAGAAAACATTAGTGAACTTAAATGCAGGGCCATATAAACCAGATTGAAGCTTGGAGGGGAAAAAAGGTTTAAAAATGAACAACACTCCAGTAACCTGTAGGATAATATTAAGTGTCCTGACAATCTTGTAAATGGAGTACGAAAAGCAGAGAAGGTAGAGATTGGGGCAGAAAAAAATACATTTGAAAAATAATGGTTGAAAAACATAAACCCAGATAGCTGAGAAATTCATTGAATTCCAAGCAAGACAAACACAAAGAAAAATACACTAAGGTGTGTCATAAACAAGTGGTAAAAAACAATGCTAAAGAGAAAAATCTTAAAAGTACTCAGAGGTCAGTAACATCTTAGCAGAAACAATACAAGCCGAAAGACGATGGAACAACATATCCGAAGTGAGGAAAAGCAAAGAAAGCTGTCAACCTAAAATTCTACATCCAGAAAAAAAATATCCTTTAAACATGATAAAAACATAATGATATTTAGCACAAAAGCTGAGAGAATTCATCACCAATAGGTATGTACCGAGAAATGTAAATTTTTCAGCTTTAAGAACATTTTACCATATAGAAACCCATATCCACAGGAAGAAATGAATGCTGAAAATGGTAAAAATATCAGTAAATATAAATACCTGTTAATGACTTTAAATTTCTTTAAAAGATAACCGTTTAAAACAAAAATAGTAACAATGAATTGGAGGGTTTACAACAGATGTAGAAGTAAAATGTATGAGTGTAGTAGCACAAAGGACAGGAGTCTAGGAGAAAAAATATAGGGCACGGACATCCTTATGTTACATATGAAGTGACGCAGTATTACTTGAAGGTGGTAAACCCTAGATTCTGTCAAGGGTTAAATATTGAATCTTGTAGGCTTTGCAGGGTAATCTACCTCTGTTACAACTACTCAACTCTGCTGTTGTAGCAGGAAACAGCCACAGACAATACATAAACAGAGTGTGGCTATGTTCCAATAAAACTTTATTAATAAAAACAGGTGACTGGCCAGAGAGCTGTAGTTTGTCAGCCCCACCCAAGATCAAATTCTAAAAGAAAGATGAAAATTTAAAATCTAAATTATACCTCCGAAAACACTTAGAAAAGATTTGTCCATATAGTGTATGTGTGTGTGTATATATATATATGTACATATGTGCTATCTATAGAATGTGTGTATAACTACATAATAATGACTTCCTCTGTCTCTAGTCTCTTATGTCTTCAATCCACACTTCTATAAGAATGATCTTTCTAAAATGCAAATCTAATCATATTTAATCCACGTTCAATGCTTTTCAATCGATCCCCATTGCCTCTAGAAATAAGCCACCCACATCTCCACACACAAAAGACACTTGGAACACACCCTCTACACCCACACACACCCCCTCTCCACTGGGCCTGGGAAATTACTACTCCACTTTCAAGGATCACCACAGTCACTTTAAATATCACCTCTGCAGGGGATGCTGTGTTGCGCTGTTCAGGTCCTCCTTTGTGACTGGAAGCCTTACTCTCTCAGCTATTCAGGGTGCTGCCACAAGACAGTAGCTAGCTGTAATTCCCCTCCCTGGGTAAAAAAGAGGCATTTTACCCAAGGCCACATCCCTTCCTAGGACTGTACAGATGCAATGACTGGCTGACTAGGGGCTATAAAGGGCCAGTACCCTCGCCTCCAACTTGGGAAAACTGTGAAGGGTCCTCATGGTGTCGGAACTCCCTGCAGAATTAGCAGCAGCTTCCACCGAGACTGCGCTGCGTCTCAGCTTCTCCTTCTGCCTATTTCTGCTCCATTCCCTTCCTTTCTACAGGTTTTCATCCTGAAAGCACTCTAAAAAGTTTCCTACACACTCTTCTCCATCTCAGAATTTGTATCCTGGGGAATCCAGCCTGCAATACCTCTTTGTAACCACTTTCCTTATAATTTCCTTACTAACAATAGAGGGTAGTTGTCCCTGCTTTGCTTTTTGTTATTTATATGCTGTTTTTCTCCTAGTGTACTGTCTAACATTCCTTATAGTCATATATCATCCACATGCTTACTTTACTTAGAATTCTGTAAAATTTTGCAGGATCTGTAGATGAATTTTGGGATAACAATATACCCAGTCATGGAGAGACCATAAATATATTTTATCTGTTAGATATATAGTTCCAAGATTTGGAGAAATTCTATAGCCAAATACATACAAAGTTCTATCTATGTGTTACTAAAAGAAACAGGGTGATTTGGTCATTGAAGTAAATATGCAATTATTACAATGAGTGAAATGGGAAAAACATGTGCAACTGATTGGTGCAATTTACAATATTCCCCTAACTAGTCCTGTAAATAAATATTCCAGAATAAATTTCCTTGCAACCCATTTTTTGTTGCATTACAATTTTTCAATAAGGTGGCAATTAACATACAGCTACTTAGTTCCATTTATCTCATTACCTAAAAAAATAGAATTTATTGTCAACTTTAAGGGAAGCAAAAGTCTAAAAGCAGTGAAAATATAAACCTTATTCCTTAGCAGACATATATGTGGAGAGAATAGTGAGTAACCTCAAGGAGAGGGCAAATGTCAGGCTTTCACGAGGAACATGCTGGAAAGATCGATGAGAAGTTTCCGTTTCTCTTTGATCTATCAGGCAACATAATTTGGGGAAGTTGACTACTTTGTTCATTTGGCTTGTGAAATGTGTAACCTCTATCGATCCAAGGATTAAGAATGATACCTCTTTCATCACAAAAAACTTCTGGAAAATGGTATATAAGAGATCAGAAATGCTCCCCAATCTATTGCAGAGAGTGTAAGAAAGAGGGCAAAAATGTTCACAGTGGATGTTGCGGTAGCTCAAAGAAAATAAGCGGAAAATTGAAGAGGAGTAGAGGAGGTGGTGACATTGAATAGCCCTAACTCTTAGCATCTAAGAAGACTTAAGAAG